TAATGTTTAGCATGAAGAAGAGAGGGCTGAGAGGAGATATGATAGCCATGTATAAATATGTGAGAGGAAGCCACAGGGAGGAGGGAGCAAGCTTGTTTTCTGCTGCCCTGGAGACTAGGATGCACAACAATGGCTTCAAACTACAACAAAGGAGATTCTATCTGAACATGAGGAAGAACTTCCTGACTGTCAGATCTGTTCAGCAGTGGAACTCTCTGCCCCGGAGTGTGGTGGAGGCTCCTTTTTTGGAGGCATTTAAACAGAGACTGGATGGCCATCTGTCGGGGGTGCTTTGAATGCGATTTTCCTGCTTCTTGGAAGAATGGGATTGGAGTGGATGGCCCACAAAGTCTCTTCCGATTCTATAAATAATTAACAAGGAATGAAAAAGCTGGGTGCAAAGGGAGAGCGAGCCCAAGGAAATGCCTGTTTTGGATGATCCGCTGTGCTCCGTCACAGCCTCCACAAATCAGATTAACAGGATGTTTCTCTTGCTTGGACAGTGGTATTTATCTCTTGACAAACTGGCTGGAACTGCCTTGGGATCCAGGAGCAAAGACTGGAAACACAGAAAGAGAACACGGTGGAGGGAGGCACGATAAAGAGATCGTCCTATACAAGCTGACTTGCCTTGGGCATTGGTCTTGTTGTGGTGGCAGCACTTGAACTCATGATTCTGGGCCTCCACTTTGCAATCTCTTCATTTAATTGAGAGTTATGGAGGCACTTATCAAGTCTTGGACCTGGAGATAAAAGTCCAGGTCCCCATTAAGATGTCAAATTTGAGGGAACGTGAGCCAGCTTCTCAATCTGTCTTCCTTTCTTTTTCTGACATTCTAGTACTAGTGGTATACTCATCTGTAAACCATGCTGCACATGCTGGAGAAATTATTCACCATAGCGCAACAGAGATATTCTGCTGACAGTGACGAAAACAGAGTTGTGCATACGTCAACATGGCGCACTTGTTTATGCTCTGTGCATTGAGGCTGTGCACTAAAGTTGTGCATTGTGGTTGAGCATGACAAATGTATGCTGTGTATTGTACAACAGCACTCAGCTCTTGATGTGTGTTAAGCAATGTTGCTGTTCTGCACGGGAAATGCACGGCGGCAGTGTAGCATATCACCACAGGGATATTTATGTTATGCTGAGGCGATACTGGTCTGCGGCCTCAATCAGCCCAATTTGTACCAGCATGAGCAAAACATGCAAAGGAGGCTATGAACAGTACACTGCGTTGAGCTCATTGAATAATAAGAAGGATACGAATGCAATTAATAAATGTAATCCACCCACACTCCTCACAACTTTCTTGATAAGGTTGAAGGAGGGCGGGGGGATTAAAAGCATGGACTACGGTATTACACTTTGTGGCAGTTTGATCCTACTTTTACTTTAACTGTCGAAACATATCTCCCTTTATTATTTCATACGTTTGTATCCCGTCCTTCTTACCCCGGAGGAGGACTCAGGGCGGCCTCACAATTGGCAACCATTAGATGCCCAAACAAAGACAATTATAATAGCAATTTACATTTAAAACAATAGCTAAAATATCAAATATAAAACATCCAATTAAAATCACACAATTTCAAGTCACAATTCAGGTCAGTCCAGTATCAGTCCAATAAATCATTCTCATTATTATTGCTGCATCTGCTGCTCGAATGCTTGCTCCTACAACCAAGTTTTAAGTTTTTTCCTAAAAAGATAGGAAGGAGAGGGCCGAACTGATTTCATTAGGGAAGGTGCTCCACAACTGAGGGGGGCACCATTGAGAAGGCCCTGTCTCTCATCCCCACCAGCCGCAATTGCGAGAGTGGTGGGATCAAGAGTAGGGCCTCTCCTGATGATCTTAGGCTCCGAGGAGAGTCTTAGAGGGAGATACATTCAGACAAGTAAGCTGGGCCAGAATCATTTAGGGCTTTATTGGCCAAGGCCAGCACTTTGAATTGTGCTCAGTAGCAAATCAGCAGCCAGTGGAGTTAACGTAACAGAGGGTGGTATACTCCCTGTACTCAACTCCAGTGAGCAATCTGGCTGCCACCCATAGTTGAAGCTTCTGAACAGTCCTCAAAGGCAGCCCCCTGTAGAGCACATTGCAGTAATCTAATCTGGATGTAATAAGAGTTTGGACCACCGTGAACCATCATGGAGATTAAGATCTTCTGGGGAGGTCCTGCTCTCGGTCCCACCTGCTTCGCAAGTGCGGTTGGTGGGGACGAGAGACAGGACTTTCTCAGTGGTGGCCCCTCAACTCTGGAACTCTCTCCCTGGTGAGATTACACCAGTGCCCTCCCTCCTGACCTTTAGAAAGAAAACAAAGACAAAGTAATGCAGTACAGAAATAAATATGGAATATGTGTAATCGACATCTGAAATGGCCCGGTCTACGAATTTAGATCACGTGTTTTTAATGTTTTTATTAGGTGTTTTTAATGTTTATATTTCATGTTTAAATGTCCTATTATCTTATGGATCGTTTGTCCTATTGTATTCTATGCTTAGTCATATGTTGTTAGATTTATGATTTGGTTTATGTACATAAGGCATTGAATTTTGCCATTATTTTTGTAAACCGTTTTGAGTCCCCCCAGAAGTGAGAAAAGTGGTATATAAATGCTGCAAATTCATTCATACATACATACATAACTGTTGGGGTTCTTAGCAGAGAAATGTAAATACTTCAACACAAATCCTAGCATTGCATAGGATGGAGTAGTGACAATGTGGTACTGGACTGCGATAAATGTGAAGTGTAGATACACTTATATAGATAACTCAGCTTTCCCCAACATGTGCTGAATTATAACTTCTGAATACCCAATATCTTTGCCCTTGCTGTTTGGGTATGATGGCTGTAGTTTTCAACTTAACTTAAATCTCTCCATTGGAAAAAAACATTCTGCGTTCAGCAAAATGCTTTAAATATATATGAAATACAACTATAATCAATAACAAAGGAAAACACCACCATAAAGCCTGTAGCTAAAATGAAAATGCCATGGCATACAAAACCACAGTCAAATCAACAGCAAAGAAGAACCATATGTTGATCTAAACACCATGCTGGGAGACTCATAGATGGTGTAAAGGAATCGTTACCATTGTCTAGTCCAAACACCTGTGATTGCAGGAACATCCAACAAATCAACCACTGAATGGAAGGCTAATGAAGGAGGTTCCCACCAGCTACTTATACAGCTTACTCCACTATCTGAGAGGTCTTACCAAACAGCTTGTCCTAATGTTTAATCCAAATACATCTTTTATTGTAATTTGAATCCATTGCTTGAGGGCTTACTCTTTGAAACAGCAGAAAAACAAGCCTGCTCTGCATTCAACATGACAGCCCTCCAAATATTTGAAGACCATGATCACATTGCCTCTTGTGAAAACACCCCCAGGTTTCTCAACTGTTTCTTATAGGGATTCGTTTCCAGACCCTTTGGCACATCTGCCACCATTTTCTGGGTATCTTCTAGCTTGTTGATGCCCTTAGAAAATGGTGATGTCCCAAACTGACCACAGCACTGCAGATGACATCTGTCCAAATACAGTGGGAATGTTACTTCTCTCAAAATGCATGTTGTAATTCAATTGATGCAATCTAGAATGCCATTTTAAGTTCTTTTTGCCACTACATTACTCTATAGCAGTGATTCTCAACCTTCCTAATGCCGTGACCCCTTAAGACAGTTCCTCATGTTGTGGGGGGCCCCAACCATACAATTATTTTCATTGCTATTTCATAAATATAATTTGGCTACTGTTATGAATTGTAACATAAATATCTGATATGCAGGATGTATTTTTCACTGGACCAAATTTGGCACAAATACCCAACACAACCAAATTCAAATACAACTCATTTTGTCATTTGTGAGTTGTAGTTAACCTACAATCAAAGAGCATTCTGAACTCCATGAACGATGGAATTGAACCAAATTTGGCACACAGAACACCTATGATCAACAGAAAATAGTAGAAGAGTTTGGTGAGCACTGACCTTGAGTTTGGGAGCTGTAGTTCACCTACATCCCAAGAGCACTGTGGACTCAAACAATGATAGGTCTGGACCAAATTTGGCATGAATACTCAATATGTGAATACTGGTGGAGTTTGGGGAAAATAGATCTTCACATTTGGGAGCTATAGTTACTGGGATTTATAGTTCACTTACAATCAAAGAGCATTCTGAACCCCAGCAATGATAGAATTGGGCCAAACTTCTCGCACAGAACCCTTATGACTAGCAGATAATACTGTATTTTCTGATGGTCTTTTGCGACCCCTCTGACTCCCTCCCCCGTGACCCCCCAGGGGTCCTGACCCCCAGGTTGAGAAATACTGCTCTATAAGAATAACAGAATTGTAGAATAGGCCAACAAGTTCAAATATTACTCCAAGCAGAAACTCTAGCTCGGGCATGGGCAAACTTTGGCCCTCCAGGTGTTTTGGACTCCAACTCCCACAATTCCTAACAGCCTCAGGCCCTTTCTTGAAACCTGAGGCTGTTAGGAATTGTGGGAGTTGAAGTGCAAAACACCTGGAGAGCCAAAGTTTGCCCATGCCTGCTCTAGCTAAAGCATCCCCAGTAGAAAGCTGTATAGCCTCTTTTTGAAGATGCCCAGAGAAGGCGATCCCACCATCTCTGAGTAATTGGTCCCATTGCCAAACCACTCTTACCATCAAGAAGATCCTTCTAATGTTTAGTCAAAATCTAACCATTCGCCTGCCCATAGCCTCTGGAACAGAAGAGAACAAACTTGGAAACACATCTTTGTTGTAAGATAGTTTGAGCATTGGACCATAACTGGAGACTAAGGTTTCATTCCTTGCTTGGCAATGACTGACCTTGGGTAGGTCACACACTCTCAGCCCCAGAAAACCCAGTGATACATTAACTTTAGGGTCACCGTAAGTGTGAAACAACTCCAAGTCACACAACCACAACCAGTCATGTCATCTCTCAGTCTTCACCAGGCTGAACATACCTAAGTCTTTCAACCTTTCCTCATGGGTCTTGTTCGCCATCCTTGAGCTTGTGAATCCAAAAGTCTTCACTTGGCACCAAAGAGACCACGATGCTGTTACCAGATGAGCTCCTCCGAGGTGGGCATTCTGCAAATGGGATGCCAACACTGAGTAGACCTTTTCTTATCTAGCCATCAGTTTGGGGATATGGGGAAACCCCGAGGAAGATCTGAGATAAAGACCTTGAGGTCAGTGCAGCTGGATAAGGGGAAAGGGGCTCCTTCAGGTTGCCAGCCCATAAGCCACTTAGGGCTTTAGAGGTTGAAACCATATGTGTGTCGATGGAGAATGGAAGGAGGGGAGGGAGGCACATCACGTGAATGAAGAGCTCCTTATATACAAACTGGGCCACTGAGCCCGGCAAGAGGTAAATACAACTTAATGCACGTAGTATATAGCCTCAAGGGGACGGCTGATGTGTACACAGTAGATGGAGAGATGGAGATACCTTGGGAGGGGGAGAAAAGAAACAGCATTCGACTCATCAGAGCTGAAGAGGAAAGATGAGCTAAGGGTTAAAGAGGTCTTCTTCTGAAAATGGCACCTTTTATTTGAGCTCAGTATTAAAAGTGAAATAGGCAGGGTGACTGGAAACGCATCTGCGTGGGTTTATTTTGACTGTGGCACATGGCGTTGTTCACAGCCCTGCCAGCTGAATGGGCATGGCTTTCCTGTAAATATTGTTTCGGTCTGACAAGGGAATGGGAAGGAAATGAAATGGTGCAAAGATCGAGAGACAGAAAGGAGAGAGGCAGCGATGGTCGTTAAAGGCTCTCTTTCCTGCTTTCGCCTTTCTTCAATGCCCTTCCCACACTCTCGTCTTTTGCATCCTCCCATAATAAGCCCATAAGTCCATCACCCACCTGACACATTCATTCCACCTCCCCCCCCCCCCCCCCAACCTCACTTTACTGCTCCTTGACAGCTCACAGATGGGATCGGCACAGCTTATGCGCTTCTTCACAACCCAAATCCTTGAGACATTGTTTCAGAAGGAGGATTTAACACCCCTTGGCTGCTGGGCAGGGAAAGAGATGCATAGGGGAGGGGGAGACTTGCTTATGAATGGTTGGCGAAGGTTTTCATGGCCGGAATCACTGGGTTGCTGTGACTTTTCCAGGCTATATGGCCATGTTCTGGAAGCATTCTCTCCTGACATTTTGCCTGCATCTATGGCAGTCATCCTCAGAGGTTGTGAGGTCTGTTGGAAACTAGGCAAGTGAGGTTTGTATATCTGTGAGATGTCCAGGGTGGGAGAAAAAAAACCCTCTTGTCTGCTTGAGGCAGATGTGAATTTTGCAAATTGCCACCTTGATTCACACTGAATGGCCTTGCAGCTTCAGAGCCTGGTTGATTGCTGTCTGGGGGAATACCTTGTTGGGAGGTGTTAGCTGGCCCTGATTGATTTATGTCTGTTGGAAACTAGACAAGTGAGGTTTATATATCTGTGGAATGTCCAGAATGGGAGGTGTTAGCTGGCCCTGATTGATTCATGCCTGGATTTCCCCTGTTGTTTGTGTTGTTCTTTATTTACTGTCCTGATTTTAGAGGTTTTTTTTAACACTGGTAGCCAAATTTTGTTCATTTTCATGGTCTCCTCCTTTCTGTTGGAATTGTGCACATGATTGTTGGTTATGTGGAAGAGGAACACTCAAAAAGCAGGGAAATTCCAGACATGAATCAGTCAGGGCCAGTTAACACCTCCCAACATCGGATTCCTCCAGGCAGCAACCAGCCAGGCTTTGAAGCTGCAAGGTGGCTATTTGCAACATTCAAACTTGCATCAAACAGACAAGTGTTCCTTCTCCCACCCTGGACATTGCACATATATATAAACCTCACTTGCCTAGTTTCCAACAGATCTCACAACCTCTGGGGATGCCTGCCATAGATGTGGGTGAAACATCAGGAGAGAATGCTTCTGGAACATGACCATGCAGCCTGAAAAAGTCACAGCAACCCAGGTCTGAAGGCACTTATCTTGAAGCAAATCTAAGTCAGGTGGAATCGCAGCTCTTTAATCCCAGCTCATAGCATACAAGCTTTGATAAAGTGAATGGGAATACATCCATAACTCTGTTGCCAAGTTTTCTTGTGTCCTTTTTAAGGTCTGTGGAAGGTTAGTACCAAAGACATGTATGTAGAGATTGAACAAGGATGGCCAGAAACCTTCTGCCCAAGGATAATAAAACCCTTTAAATAAATGATAACCTCCTTAAGTTACCACTTAGCACCTTCATTATTTATGCATTATGCTAATATCTCACCTTCTTCTCATGGCAACATGAAAGGGAGCATCTATGTGGGTTTTGAGAAGTCTTTTGCCCAGGAAATGGCTTCAGCTGATAAGGGGATTCTGGGAGCTGCAGTCCCAAAAAGTACTTGTTCCAACCTTTGAGAGTGTGTCCTGAGATGGACATAAAAATGTGTCCAGAGGAGAGTGACTAAAATAATCAAGGGTCTGGAGAACAAGCCCTATGAGGAGCAGCTTAAAGAGCTGGGCATGTTAAGACTAAAAAAGAGAAGGCTGAGAGGAGACATGATGAGGGCCATATATAAATATGTGAGGGAAAGTCAAAGGGAGGAGGGAGCAAGCTTGTTTTCTGCTGCCTTGGAGACTAGGATGCGGAACAGTGGCTTCAAACAACAGGAAAAGAGATTCCACCTGAACCTTAGGAAGAAGTTCCTGACTGTGAGAGCTGTTCAGCAGTGGAACTCTCTGCCCTGGAGTGTAGTGGTGTCTCCTTCTTTGGATGCTTTTAAGCAGAGGCTGGATGGCCATCTGTTGGGGGTGCGTTTAAAGTGGTTTTCCTGCATCTTGACAGGGGGTTGGACTAGATGGCCCATGAGGTCTCTTCCAACTCTAGGATTCTATGATTCTAAAGTCAGCAGGACCCACAGCCAATGTTGGAGTGAAACCAGTGGAAAAACCACTAATAAGAGTGGAGAAACCATCTGCCATCTCCCTCAAAGTTCCACGTTCTCTCTGATTTAAGCTTCCATCTTAATGCTGTGATATACCCTTAACTGCTGTGATATGCCCAGAAACGACATAGAAGTGAGCTATGATAATGCAGATAGAGATGTTGGAACTGGCTTATTGATGCAAGTCAACCTATGTTTCTGAATCTTCCTCCCTCCTTCCTCCTTCCTCCTTGGCAGGAGAAATGTATTGTTGAAGGCTTTCACGGCTGGAATCACTGGGTTGTTGTAGGTTTTTTGGGTTGTATGGCCATGTTCTAGAAGCATTCTCTCCTGACATTTCACCTGCATCTGCGGCAAGCATCCTCAGGATGCTTGCCGCAGATGCAGGTGAAATGTCAGGAGAGAATGCTTCTAGAACATGGCCATACAGCCTGAAAAACCTACAACAACCCATGGTAGGAGAAATTTCATGATGATGTGCAGCTGCAGTTCAGAATTCAATATTATAACACAGAGTAAACAGCAGACAAAATGTGAAAGACTGTATAGCGAGTTCTTCTCTCCCCTTTTGCTCTCTCTCTGCCACCTATTTCTTCAGGCTGCGTAGAATTAGAGCTATATGAATTGAGGTCAAGGAACACCTGCAAAATATGGACCTAAAGGGTTTTCAGTGGAGAGGGGAGACGATTAATCTGAAGCAATAAGCAGAAATAGAAATCTCTGCTGGAGACTGTCTTGGTTTTACAGTATCCTTTAAATAGCCCATTGAGCACCAAGCCCACATATCTGTGACTATCTGCTTAAAATATATTTATCTCTTTTTAAAAATATGGCAATATTGGGGATCTTCAGGCCGCGTGTCCAACTCTGAACCCTAGAAAGTCAAATTTAGCCCTCTGGGCTTTCCAAGAAGAGGATTCCCATTTTACCATGATGCCATTATTGGGTGACTTCGCAACTTTTTTATGACTTTCCCACTCACAGTAAAGGTTTAAGTGAAATATGTTGCCACTGCAACTGACTTTGGCTGTTCAGTTAAAAGAGCATTATATGTTCAGTGTAGATCAGTGGTTCTCAACCTTCCTAATGCCGCAACCCCTTAATACAGTTCCTCATGTTGTGGTGACCCCCAACCACAACATTATTTTTGTTGCTACCTCATAACTGCAATGTTGCTACTGTTATGAATCATGTTGTAAATATCTGATGTGCAGGATGTTTTTCCATTCAATGGACGAAATTTGGCACAAATACCCAATATTCCCAAATCTGAATACTTTGGGGTGGGGGGTTGATTTTGTCATTTGGGAGTTGTAGTTGCTGAGATTTATAGTTCAGCTACAATCAAAGAGCATTCCAAACTCCACGAATGATGGAATTGATGGAACCAAATATGGCACACAGAACTTCATGACCAATAGAAAATACTGGAAGGGTTTGGTGGGCACTGACCTTGAGTTTTGGATTTGTAGTTCACCTACATCCAGGACACAAACAATGATGGATCTGGAACAAACTTGGCACGAATACCAAATAGGCCCAAATGCGAACACTGGTGGAGTTTGGGGAAAATAGACCTTGACATTTGGGAGTTGTTGCTGGGAGTTATAGTTCACCTACAATCCAACTGCATTCTGAATCCCACCAACGATAGAATTGGGCCAAATTTTCCATAAAGAACCCCCATGACCAACAGAAAATACTGATGGTCTATGGTGATACCTCTGACACCCCCTCATGACACCCCCCCTCGGGGTTCTGACCCTCAGACTGAGAACACTGTAATTTACCATGAAGAAAAGTTCTCAAGTATTGTCGAAGGCTTTCATGGCTGGAATTACTGAGTTGCTGTAAGTTTTTCGCGCTGTATGGCCATATTCCAGAAGCATTATCTCCTGACGTTTCACCTACATCTATGGCAGGCATCCTCAGAGGTTGTGAGGATGTCTGCCATAGATGCAGGTGAAACGTCAGGAGGGAATGCTTCTGGAACATGGCCATACAACACGAAAAACTTACAGCAACCCAGTTCTCAAGTAGCCTACTCACTGGTTTACTGCCTCTCCATTGGTAGATAATTTTGAAGTGTGTGTGTGTGTGTGTATTTAAATGTACAGGGGTAATCACAAATTGCCTCCCATCACATGGATTCAGGAGTAGCA